TGCAATACACAAATCTGGGCAAGACAGGAAAAAAAATAGAAATCATTCAGTCCAGGAAGCGTCTTATTAGGCATCCGGAATCAAATTTACAGTCAGTCACTTTGCAGGGGCACAATACTAATCCTGACTATCAAGCATTAAATCAACTATCCCTACATTTACTGGAGTGGTTAACCACAATTTTTAATGCAACTGACACCCGATAACATATACGATGTTATGCCCATGGTAGGGTATGGTAAGTCATTGGAAACCTTGATGATCAGAAATGTATTAACCTACAATTCCATTCCTGCAGCCCCATTGTCTCTTTTAAATGCAATTGCATCCAGCCTTCAAATAATGACATTAATACCACTTTGCAAACTATGACACCTTCCATCCAAGGACCTCAAAGTGCCTCACTAGCACTGTTGCATTAATCTACATTGCACCCTAATGACGTAGCCATTATCTGCGTTTTAAGATGGGCCTAAGGAAAGTGAGACACAGGGGACTTGCCTAAGTTCTTAAAGGAAGTCAGTGGCAGCACTGGGAATAGGACCTGGCTCTCATGAATCACAGTCCTGGCTTTCACCACAAGAACATCTTTCCTTCACTAGGTGATAGGATTTCAGAATCTGGCACGCACACACAAATATATTTTGCCTCATCACTAATGTTGAAGTTTAGGACCTATCACGGTCAAGGATTTGTGAAAAAAATTAGAAGATGTAAGAGCACCCCATCAAGGAAAAGCAATCAAGAGTGTAACAGAGCAGAGTTCAGCCCTGTGTTTTTGGTGTTTACGATACCTGGAAAAATACCCTGGTGAGATGTGAAGCTTGGCTGAAGACAACATGCCAAAACTGAACTGACATACTTCTACCAGGAGGTGGCTTGATGAGGTCACAAGCGTTTCCCCCTTCTCCACCAATTGAACACTAAGTACTTGGGGATTTTTTGGCAGGCATCTATCTGCAATGATGCCTACAAAAATCCTGACAATGGTTCAGCAGCTGGTGGGCTCTGTTTAAACAGGCTAACTGGTATTGACTGATTGTTTCCTTGTGCTCCTGCCAGGTGTTTGTTGTTTCCACCTGTTGTCTCGTCTTAGACTTTGATCATAAACACCTCTGTGCAGGGACTGTCCTGTGTTTGTATAGCGCTTACAATGGGTCTCCAAAGGAACCCTAGATGCTACCATTGCACAAGTAAATAAAATAATGTAAGCTATGCAGAAAGCAAGCCACCAGAATTTTATTTTTTTGCCATTTCCACGCTGGGTGGAAGTTTTCTAATGTTTGCAGAAGTGTTTGCAACAGCACATAACAGTTCATGTAATTGGAGATGATCCTTTCTACTGGGGCGTCCTCTCTCCAACAGTCCGAAAAAAGAGGCAGGCTGAAAAGGAGTGCTTGAAACTTCTTGCTCCCTAAGCCTACTTCACTCTTTTGGAGGGTTTTTGGTACAAGGACATCATGGAACATGCTATTCAAGACTGCCAGAGATGGTTTTCTCGGTTTCCATAGTTATTTTCCTCCCCCACTGGGACTGGAGAAGATAGAGCCAAGGAGACTAGAACTAGGGAAGGGAACAGAAAGGAGGCCAAAAGAAACAGAGAAGGGTGCTGTGGATGCATGATGACAATAGTTTTCTTTCATTAACCTTGAGTGATTTCTGCAAAGCAAAAAAAAAAACATCATTAAGCTTTGTTAGCAAGTAGAGCTGGTTTCAGACAGCCCAGTCATGTCCACATTAAAGAGTGCCTCATTAGGAAAGCTACACAGTTATCTTCAGTCAAGCCTTCCAAACCCCTTTATGTACTATTTTTTCATAATAGGATACTCGGAATTCTGAACACTGCTCCAGCTGAATTTGCACTCACCTTTTGTACAGCACCAAATCGTCTAGACTCAAGAAATCTGCTTCAGAACAACTAAGGTCAGAGCCACTAAGGTCTACTGCTACGTATTGTCTTTGGTTCTTGCTTTTGGCCAATCTGGAAAGCTTACAGGAACAGGGCAGGATGAGAAACTGCTAATACGTTTTTACCCATTCAGTGTATTTTTTGTGCCCTACCAAGGCAGAGAAACAAAATCTCATTTCGGCACTTCCCCTTAAACCAGGAAGCGAAGAGGTACTCAAAAAAGATTGCATGCTTAGCTTCAAAGCTTCAAGAAAACTCAATTCTTTTATTAGAACTTGCGGACAGTCCCCAAGTACAGATGATCTAATCTTTTCTTTCTAGTCCTACATATCCTACTTATGCCTATTAGCTTTTTTACCTACCATTGTGGCAAATGTTTTTATGTTTCTGTCCACTTTACTTCTAGCGCAGATCACTCTCCTGGCCAGCATCTTGCAATTTGTAACCATTTAGGCCAGTCCGTATTGCAGTTCAAGTCTCTCACTGTGTTTTTTTGGTTTACAATCTACATCAACCCTAAACCATTCATCAGTCTGTGGCCTATTTTTTCCAGGTCCTTTTGGATTTCATCTTTATCTGACATTAACCTGTCTGCCATTCTCATGATTCCTGCTGATTTCCATTGGTTGTGCCCCGCACACTGTGCCACTGAACAAGATTACGCCAAAAATCCATCAGAGATATTACATATGCCAACTTCTTTCTCCATCTCCTTCTACCCTCTGACATCTCTTACTAAGTCACTTTAAAAATAAAAGATAAACCCCATTTTTTCTTTACATTAAGGAAAGAACTTCAGGAAAATTTAATCTGTGCCTAGACAGTTTTGAATAGTATCAATGGCAAATTGTAATGTTTCTTCTATATCTTAAGGCTGTGTGAGCACTCCATCAGAACATGTGATTCAGTAGAAAAATGTTCTCGTGTGTCCAGAGAGAACTTTCTTCTTTCTGTTTGTGTGCCTATTGTTGAGGCTACATGAAACAAGAGCCATCCCAGATGCGCCTCTACAGAAAAGATAACTCAGATATTCTCAGCTTAAGGAAGCAGACAGGTGGTTCAATCACACAAAAGAAACTTGTCTATACAGACCACACAGCCATTTTATAATCCAATGTTCTTAAGAGCCACTTCTCTACAAGCTACTGGATAGATTTCTCCCTTCTATACTTTGCCCTAATACTTCAACTTCATTGTCAGTACGGCATATGACTGAGTAATAATAGAACTGATTGGTGGCCAACGTGTCTAGGCAAATCTTTTAAAGATAATTTTTATCCTTTTCACTGGAAGAAATTAAGTTATATGATCTTGAAAGAGCATTTCTTAGACATCAAGAAGTAAGTATCAGTTCTCTAAAGAGATTCCTTAACTGGCACCAAAACACTTCTTTCAAACTTTAAATAAGCCTGACAGGGGAGCTAACAAAGCTGGGTTCCTATCATCACTATGGGATAACACCCCTACCATCACAAATGTAATCATTTTAAACTATGGAAGGAAATCGTGGATATGCACATGCCAATTTTTTCCTTGAATTTAGAGCATGAAAGGTGGCAAAACGACAGTACTGGATATGGTAACCGATTTAAATCAAGAAAACAAATACAGTTTGGGTAGTGAAAAATGAAGACTCTCCTATACTGTCACAAGCAGCCTCAACCATGAGCTTATTTGATAGCCTCTAGTGCTAGGAAGGCTATTTAATCCATGCTCCCCCCACCCCCCGATGAAATTGCTAAAAGGAACCAATTGGTATTAACTGGAGGAGTGACCTATTGAAAAGACTCCTGACAGCCAGAAACAGAATGGAGACCAAACAACTCATTTCACATGGCCATCCTGATCCTGAAATATCTACCTCTGTGTTCAAGAGAAGGAATGCTCAAGATACACTATGAGGTATGTTAGCTTATTAGTGATATCTCAGTGCTTCTCTTACATCTCTGGTGTTCTGCTGTTATTTTTTTAGTTTGCTCAGCTTGAGTTCTGGATGTACTGTGAAACACAGTTAAAGAAAATAGATATGAGAGACCAAGATAAAACTGTACATAGTATTTGTAATGCAGAGGAAACAAGCAATATGAGATTCAAGATCAGTAGCCGGCTATTAATTCATGCTGGGAAAAAATTGAAACAAACAAAGAAAAGAAAAGCAGGGAGATATAGTACATAGAACTGAAGTAATTGTTTACCAGTGCTGGCTGCAATGTATAAAAATGGTGTTGGTTGTACGTAAAATTGTTTGGTGTGATCCCATACCCTGCACGTGAATTGTGTAACACTGACAATTGCCACAAAGAGTAGCCTGAATAGAATTTGGAGTTTTTTTTAATCAGTCTTTTTAAATGACCTAGATTAACTGGAATCTGACAGCTTGTTGTGTGGGAGGTCACAACAACTGGCAAATGACAAGCAAAAAGATCTGTAAAACAGGTGATGTGGGTTCAATACCAGGCTTCGTTTGAAGTCTCTGGCATCAGCTGTTTTGGTGCCTGACACTTGGAAAACTGATGCCCTGTATAAGAGAATTAAGCCATGCCAAAGCCCTGAAATGAATATTCTGATCAGTAACTGGCCACCTGTTGACAAGGCTAGATAGATTCTATTCATTAGGGTTCATACTGAAGAGATACTGTATTAGCTGGTCAATAGGGTTCTTGGTCATAACATTGCTCTGTCTGGACTGATGTGCTTTCACTTAAAGGAGGCCTGTGTCCACAGATACCATTCATGGTGAACAATTAAAGAAGTTGTTTACCACAGTCCTCATGGGGATTGACTAGTGATGCAGTAAAGATTCCCCAGCTATCACCCACACAGAGCTCATTTACGCCTTTTCTACATGACAGCAATTGTGGAGACAAAACGTGATGTGGTTGAAACTGAGAGGTTGAATTTCAGAGCAGCACTTCCTCCCCCAACTCTTGTCTGTTTTTGTAGTAGTTTAAACTCTTGCCCGTTATTTTATTTCATGAGCGTTCCAGGGATCTGTGTATTGTTTTAAAAAAATATATCTGGTCAGCATCAAGTGCAGGAAACACAAGCCCCAACTGTATTACGAATAAACCACAACTTAAAATGACCAGGAAACATTCATAATTTTTAATTCACACCAGTAATAAAATTGCATTACATTTTTCATAAAATAAATGTTCCAGTTTATATACAGAAATCAGACTGTACAGAGCCCTCCCCCAGACCCCAAAAAACTCACAAACATACAGGCAATGCAGTGCTCAGCTAAGCAGGCACAACTGTACATCTAAATTTGTAACTGCTTTGTGTTGGGGGCGGGAAAAAAGTACTACAATGTATATAGTCCTTTCTGGACCAAGAATTAAAAAAATATTGCAGGCAAGCTGACAGACGCCCCTCACTGCTTGTGTGGCTGAACGTCCATCCCACAGTGCTTCAGCAAAGCAGGGATCGTTATTGAACTTGGGACTCAAAACTTCCATTCAGCTGCCCTTCCTCATAGTCCATCTGACACAAGATCATGTTGTTCTTCAGGAAAAATTTGTCTCCCACACAAAATCTGAAATGTAAAAAAAATTAAAAAATAAATAAAGTCACGCAAGTCCAAATGTTAGTTGGCATTAACCAGGTGGCAGTACACCGAGGAAAAGATCAGAGCATTAAGTCTAGAGGTAGTGGGTGCCCAGATGGAAAGGAAAAGTTATCTTCATTATGAACTATACTTACCGGACTGGAATTTAGGGAGGCAGGATACAGTGGATAGGGCACTCGACTAGGAACCAGGCGACCTGAGTTCTATTTCTGGCCCTGCCACTGATCTCTAAGAGACTCAAGTCACTTCACCACCTTGTTTCCCTCTCCTACCTTTTGTTTGTGTTGTCTATTTAGACGGTAAGCTCTCTGGCACAGAGGCCCTCTCATACTATGCATTTGAACAGTGCCTAGCACAAGAGGCCCTGATCTCTGTTGAAGCCTATAGCTCAGGGGTCAGCAACCTTTCAGAAGTGGTGTGCCAAGTCTTCATTTATTCACTCTAAGGTTTCGCGTGCCAGTCATACATTTTAACATTTTTAGAAGGTCTCTTTCTATAAGTCTATAACATATAACTAAACTATTGTTGTATATAAAGTAAATAAGGTTCTTAAAATGTTTAAGAAGCTTCATTTAAAATTAAATTAAAATGCAGAGCCCCCCGGACTGATGGCCAGGACCCGGGCACTGTGAGTGCCACTGAAAATCAGCTCGCGTGCCGCCTTCGGCACGTGTGCCATAGGTTGCCTACCCCTGCTATAGATACTACTGTAATAACAATCCAACATGAAAAGTGATGGAAGAGATCCCCAAATAGACATGAGCTTTCAGAATTCACTGAAACTGGGAAGCAAACCGATTATGTTACACAAAATGTTTGAAATGTTCTACGGTATTCAAATTTCCAGGTGAGGCAGTGTTTACACTAATTTACAGGCACTAAATGGCTATTAAGTCCTTCCTCACCCGCTTATGTACAGTGCTGAACAATAAATAGAAGTTTCTTGATGGATGGCTAGACTCGGTTAACCTTTATCTTCATGGAATGGAGCATGAAGTTCTCTGTCTACCATGTAAATTGTTCTGTTTGTATTAAAGTTGACAGAGAGAGACTTGTGATATTTAACCATTTTATTTGATCATTAAGGTCAAAAAGGTTGCACACAATACCTGCAAGGTGCAGTTTGACAGCCACTTGGCTCCTCACACCTCCTGTTTGCTATAGGTGTAAAAGTTAATCTAGAATTTTAGGATAATACACACAGTGCTCTTCACTGATCTCCCACTCAAGGGCAGAGTCTGACTTAGCACATGCTAAGTGCTTGACAACAAAGCAGGACATAGGTGAGACAGCCTCAGTGTCCTAAGCCAGTCCCACTACTTCAGGGCAGGTACAGGCAAAGCTGGTAGTGATGCAGACAGCCAGTTCTGAAAGACAGATATATATGGTGCACACATGTCCAGCCAGCTAGGAACTGGCAGATATGAACTTTAAAGAGGCAAAAATATTAGCTAGAAGTTCAGGGGAGAAATATAGGCCCTACACAACATGAAGCCCACGGAAAGAGGACAACTTTTTCCTCAGCAGAGTCATGAAGCCTTGAAAACGTGTCCCTACTATGTAGGGTGACCAGATGTCCCCATTTTATAGGGACAGTCCCGATTTTTTGGTCTTTTTCTTATATTCTTATATATATTTCTTATATTTCTCCTATTAACCCCCGCCCCCATTCCGATTTTTCACATTTGCTGTCTGGTCACCATACTACTATGCATGGTTGTACAAGGGAAATTCTCTAGTCCTGATCTGGAATAAGTTCTCGGCCTGTGATAGTCAGTGGGTAGCTAGAGACTGAAAGCCTGCTATCAGACTGGATAGTCTGAATTATAAGAGTCTCTCCAGCACCTCATACAAGTTTTCCCCTAATGGATGCCTATAAGTCAGCTGATGCCTTGCTTAATTTGGCAAGTGGGTATAGCGAAAACCTGTGGCTTCCACAGTGCGCTTAATTAATATGGTTCATTGTGTGATTTAGCTCAGCACCCAGTCTCCTCTCCTAGCTTGCACCTGAAGCCCTCTTTATAATAGTCTGAAATTCAGCTAGCTAACTTTTAACGTTGTATTCCAGAAAAGAAACAAAAGCTGCTTCTTTAAGAGGAGACTCCAGTTAAAGCAGCATTGCACATATTCTCCTGAAAGTCACAGCCTCACCAATGGATTTGCTGAATATACAAAGTCTATTAGCCAACATTTCCCAGACTGCAACTTAAGACACAACTGCTGACTTTCTGCTACTTAACGTTACTTAAACTGTGACCATAAAACCCAAGGAGCAGGAGTACAAAACAATGTCACGCCACCAGCACAAATGCAGCACAGTCAACAGCCACCTCTTGCCAAATCTAGCTGGGGTCTAGAGCAGCCGTGGGAGAGCTGAAAAGTGATTCGTAGGGTGTGGTTGAGTGTAGTTTCTTTTAAAATCAGGTGAAAACCAGGCATCGTGGGGTCCCATGTTTATCTCTCACAATGTGCTCAATTTACAAGACAAAGATGTTTTTCTCCAGCTGCCAGCCCTGAAAACTCAGCATGGACCCAGCAGGAAGTGGAGTTCTTTCCTTCTCATGCCCAACTACCAATCAAGATTTAGCAGGCCCGTGTCACACCCAAAGCGTTTTATGCCTGTGGAAACCCAGCAGTTTTCTGGAGGTTGATGTGCGAGGAAAAGGGAACCCAGCCTTCATTCACACCGTGAGTGCCGAACTGTTAGAAAAACCTGTCTTACTAAGCGAGTTTCATCAGGAATCAGTGAGACACGAACATTGAACCCAGGATGCCATTTTTATAAAGTGACTTTCAGAATAGAACTCAACACGAGAAAAAGGCAGGTGAACTGCTTGAAACATCTTAGGATACTGATGTGTCAGCAGAGTACTGTGGTAAAAAGAAGATTTAGTAGTTAGACAACAGCTACTTACCCTTACAAAATGCAACATGAGTTAGGCCCAAGATACATTTTAGGAATCAGTGTTTTTGACGTGCATTGGAGACGATAGCTGATGGAAATATTTCGTACCTAACACTATTAAATAAAGTATTATTTTGCCTTTTTAAAAAAAAAACCCCACTATGCTAAGAATGGAGCCTGGGACTCTGAAAAAAACAGGGTAATACCAATAGATCCCAAAAAACCTAACTGAGGACTTTGCCTGTGAGAGGCTGCTCACTATTATGAGTTTTGTCTCTGGGGAGGGAGGTGCTGAATTCCTGCCAGCGCAGTCACAAAATGGATAGGTCTGCCAATGCTTTCTGGATAGCATTAAGGTATATCAAAAGCATATTAAAGACAGAATTAAAAATAGGACTATGCACCAAAACCCTGGGAAATACAGTTTGTCTGCAAGAAAGTACGCTCCCTGTCCAGCACACCAACCACTAGATGTCACTATAACCTCAGTGGAATAACCCTATTAAACTGGGGACAGCTTGATTTATTGCAGCTGTCAGTATTAATAGGAAGGCATTCTACCCCCAAACAAATAATGCCAGCTTTGTGTTTGATACAGTGCCTTCAATTAAAGCCACCCAAACTACATACCGTGTGTCTGATTCTCCTCATACATGCACTGCTGGGAGTCAGGTGTAACTCCTCAGACTTCAACCAAGTTATACGGATATAAAACAAGTGTGAGAGGAAAGTCCGTCCCTGTATTTTGATATGTTCTCACAAATCTAACATGAACGCTAGAAAGGAGGTGTGAGCATATGTGTGTGTAAATATCACACACACAACTCCATATTGACTGAAATTCCAGAGTAATTGAATGTGATGTATCTTATTTTTAAGTGAAATATCAGGTACGTTAACTTGGCTTTGAAGTAACGTGCTTTTCTCCCATTGAGCTTACTCACTCTTTTCCTCCTCTTTTACCACATGTCCCTTCATAAACAATAATTTGTGGTTCAACGGGCAGCCTAAGCAAGGAGGGGGAAGTTTTAAGAATGCATGCTTCAAAAAGGGAGACTATGCTGCATTTAATGCACTCAGCTTCCAAGAGGAGAACTCAATCTTCCAACAAGTGCACCAAAATCAAGAGAAAAGCATGCCCTAAAGTCTTTGCACGCGCGCACCCCCCCCTCCCCCATTCAGTCTTTTATAGATACCAAATGAGTCAGGCTGAACCCATATGTCCTTTCATTGTATACGTTGATATGCATTTCTCTCTGCATCTTCCAATCAGGTGTGGTACAGCCCCATTTAAAACTACCCCACAAGCAGGCTCTATTGCTTATGCAGCAAACTGAAGAGAGCACTTCGTAGTCTCCAAAAGGGCTTACCTAGAATACATTTCTCCTTCATACCCTCCTCACTTCTGAGCCTGTCAGAAGTCTGATTTAAGTAACTCTGAGTTAGAAGTACTTGTGCAAGAGAGGGTCCTATCTCCATCTATGGGTGTTCAGCAAACAGGCTAGATGCTGAAAGATCTCAGAAGCTGTTCATTCAGTTGCATTACAACTATTTCAGAACAGCTGTCTGGTGCCTACTGTGCCTGGATCTGCAGTCCTTGCACCACCCCCCCCAACTCCCCTTGGCTCCACCAGACCCAATCCTCGAAAAGGTTGCAGGACAGACCCAGTCTATGTAGGCGACTAAAAATAAGACAACCCAGCCAGTGCTAGCAGCTTCTCGGCCCCAGAGAGGTGGCAAAGATCAAGCGGATTTCCTTGGTCCGTGGGCAAAAATAAAAAATAGTTTGTGGGTTTTTTTATTTCTGTAATAACCGTGTCCTCACCTCTGGTTGCAGAGTTGGCAGGCAAAGCAGTCCAAATGGTAAACATTATCTCTGGCCCTCATCACCATCTCAAAGGCAGGGATCAGTTTACTGCAAGCAGCGCAATTCCCGGTGGTACCAAAGAGCCTGCCAAAGAAGCACAATCATTAGAAGCCATTTTAATTAAATGGTGGAAGCACTAATTAAGTGTAATTAGCAGTATCAAATACTGTATTGCACCAATAAATAGGAGTTGCAGTATCCATTTCGCTGACCAACCAGTGTGCAGGAACTTGGGATAAAACTGCCTGGTGAGCAAATGCCGATTGTCGAAATGAAATTTCACTTGGCTTGTGAGCCTTGGGCTAATTTACTATCTAATGGAGAAAAGCATTAAAGACACTTTCAGTGCTATTTTGGGGCTCACACAATTTCAGTCAAAACAAAACTATTTGCAGGGTTTTTTCTCTGAACGTCTTGCTTCCTTCCCCACCCCACTGAGCACCCATTTGCTCTTCATTGTTGCCTAATGGAGGAATCCAAGCCGATGACAATGAGTGAAATGAAGAAGACTCACTAACTTTGCCAACTCCGGCAGGCAAAGCTGCCACTGGAGAAAAGTCTAACTTACCTCCTGTTTTAAAGGAACACATGCTTATCTAAAGACACTTGGCAATAATGTTTTACAAAGCCACTTTATAAATTTTGCTAAGACCTCCACCCTCCTCGACCTTCCTGGGAGGCTTCTTATACCAAGGCACAAACAAACAGTTCACTTCAGCTCCCCAGTCCTTGAGGACAGCCTTTCTGGAAGCTGGAAGCTTTGCCACTTTCGTCATGGCTTTTGCTATCTCTCTTCCCAGATGTCTGCTGCTCTTACAGCTCCCAAAGGGAGACTAACCAAGAGCTACGGCATCATCCCCCCAGCCCTTGGACAAGTCCCTGAAGACCCATGAGCCAGTGCCACTCCCTGGGGACAGGCACGACAGCACTTCTAAATTAGAGCTATAGGAACCAGTTGGGGATGCATGCAACGAACCAAAGATTTCAATCTTAAACTGCAAATAGTCACTTAGTTACTTTCTGTTTAAGAGAATGCATGTGATTTAATTGTTCTCAGAGCTATGTGGAAGGCACCTTCTTCCTGCTGATTGTTAGTTTGGCGTGCATGTAAACATGCACACGTATGTACATCCCCCTAAACATATATGGGGCCTAAGGTCTGTTTCAATTCTTTGGAGTTGGATCTTGCTAATGCCAGTACTTACTGGTTCCACCAATACAAAAAGGCAAAAAAGCATAGAGAGAACCACTTGTAGCCTGGCAGAGGAACACCTATGTCTGATTTCTCAGCCTACAATTTGCTGAACAAATCAGTGCTACTGATCACTGGACAGTAATCACTGAAGTGTGATAAGATCCTCAAGATAACCCTTCCGCTCTCAGGCTCCTGAGCTATCATGTTAGCTTGTTTTGGGCATATAAAAAGTCTTACTTCTTGTGTCAGATGTTAAAAGAGACACCCTTTACTTTTCTGTTATTTTTGGCTTGAAGGCCACTGGACTGTTTTCGGTGGGAGGAGACTAGACATTTTTGTCTGACACTTTACAAAAAAAAAAAAAGTTTATGGTACAATGGGCCAGATAAAAATAGTACCAGAGACACAGCAATGTAAGATCTAAATACTCTTGCCCTCAGACTTCACCACATTAGGGCTGGAAAGCCTGTACCGCAATAGACCGAGCAAAACAGCAAAGAGTTTAAATAAGTCTTATAAACAAACAAAGCAAATGGCAACATATTCAGCAAGGGCAGGATGGTGGCCTGCTCTTATGATAGCAGGCGAGCCAGCCCTTCACTTTCATGCATGGCTCCCTGCATCATGGATTAGTGCAGGAGAGAGAGAGAGAGAGAAGAGCCTTCAGAGGGCTGCTGCTCCCAGTCCTACACTGGTGGTCAGGGACACTGCAAGAAAGGGCGTGTCTTATTATGGACCAGTAGCAGACCGGAGCAAGGGTGGTGGTGCCAGCAGTGGCGGCAGAAGCTCACAGTTCCCCTCCCTGGAATGCTCCTGGGCCAGCATAGCTACAATGCCCCTCGTTCTGGATGGGGTGCCAATTTATAATATAGCCCCAAATTTGTATTTTCTGATTCATAGTCATTTTACTTGGCAAAACAGAAGTGTCTGTCACTCCTTGGTGTAACCGTCTTCCATCGTATAACTAGAACACCCTTAGTACAGTAGCAGCCGTCATTAGTTTCAATTTCTCTATTTGATAGAAAACTAGCAGATTAGGAGAACAATGACGTCTGCATTTTTAGAATATCCAAATCACAGCAAACGTTAAAAAAAAATCACTTAAAAATAAAAAATAAAAATAAAACCCAAGCAAAGCAGCCCAATACATTAGGTAAGGAGAACAGTGGAAGTTAATCCTAAATTTGTTCTGTGCACGATGCCACTATTCTTGTGAGCGTAAAATATCCATTATTCATTAGCATCACAGTTGTGTGGAGCTCAATCTAGATTAAATAAAATAAAGCGGCCCCAGACAGAGTTATTTGCATTGTTAAACAGGCAGTTTTCTTCACCCTTCAAATAGGATACTTCTCTACATGGAAATGATGGGGAAGTTTGGACAGATGTTCACTTAACTATTTAAACAGTTAAAGAAACATGAAGATTGTATTTGGCACTGGATTCACCTGTCTCTTTTCAGGGGTTGGGGGGTAAACCAAGTGTTACATAGCTTTGAATGTTTGCATAAGAGCTGCAGTTTATGTTTTGTCCAGCTGAAATTATGTTGCCTTTTAATGTCTACATAAATGTAGCTCCCAGTTTTTCAGTGTGCTAATCTTGTTCTCTGCTATTAAGTTTCAGACAGCCCCCACCTCCCTTCCCTAACATATGAACATTTCACACACATTCTAGCACTTTCTAATTTTAATCACTTCTCAGGGAACGATTTAAAGCTCTATATAGTCACTAAAATTCTCAAGTATGCCTGACTTGTAGCTCAAAGTTCACAGACTTTTTGCTGTTGGAGGAAGTGCAGATTGAGGCAAAGAAGAGACGCATTCTTCAACTAAGAACTTGGTCTTTGTTTTTTGGCACGTCCAGCTGTCATGCTCCATACCTCCTCACTTGGAGATCACACGAGGAGCAGTTTGGGTTTTTGTTTTTTTAATTTTGGGGAAGAACTCCCTTTCACCATCAATACATCCCATGGTTTAGTTTAAAAAGAAGCCACAAAAAAGGAAACACACTCCATCCTCTGGATGCATTCTCCATAGCAAATCCCATCTTGTCTGTTACACCCCCTCCCCCCCCCCCCACACACACCCCCACACACCGAAAGCTCAAGCATATCAGGGAAATTACCATAAGAGCCTCAATATTCTCACTGGCATGACGCTGGGGGGAAGGAGACAAGGAAGGTTTTTAACCTCTTTTTAAAACTCTCTTAAAAGTTAGAAGACAGCAATTTTTAAGTACAGATTTATTCTCTCTTATGTAACAGAAGGACCTCACCAGCTTGTAAATAAGCTTAGACTATGCAGATTTAAAATTTAACACAATTAAACTTTTACCCTGTGGTAGTAATTATGCTTAATGGCTCTTACTCTGAACTTAACCATGTCTATTGTTGTCAGCCAATCTGAAAGCAGGAATTTAGCCAAGGACAATTTTCTGTAGTTTATAGGCACACTAAAATCCAGCTATTCTATATTCCGATTAGCTGTTGATGTCATTGTGTATAGTAAAAATTAAAGCTAACTGGCACACAGGAGCAGCAGTGAATACGAATGAATTGAGGGGCAAGCGGGTAGCACTCTGTGGAAGTGCTATGTAACTGTTGGGAGGCTTCTTTTTATTTAAAGACTTCGCTGCTTGTAACAGTAATCTTCTGTACAACATTTTGGAATTCAGCAATGCTGTGAAGGTACTTTAAACTGACTAAATGTACAGTAGGGGCATAATTACCCAGAGTTTACCTTTTCTTTAGGGTATGAGTGAGGGGCTTATACTGGTGAGTATGTGAAAGGGAGGGACTTGTCTAAAAGTGACCCTCTTCCCCATCATTTTAAACACATTCTATATTTCCAACTTACATTCATCACTCGTGAATGAACATTAGATTTGTACCCCTTCCATGAATCTTCCTTCTCGCCCCACTCACATTCATTTATGGTCTAAGCTATATGATAATCTGCACATCTGTTTCATTATCTCTAATCCTACAAACAATATCTACAAATGGATTTCTAAATACCTAGCAATACCAAGATTGCCCTCCATCCTGGTATTTGCAAACCAGCAGCAAGTCAGTCAGGGGCCAGAAAACTCTCCTATGAAAAGGGACTGAAAAGATTGGGGGCATCTCACTTTAGAAAAGAGATGGTTAAGAGGGGATATAAGTGTATGTAAAGCACAGAATGGGATAGAGAAGGTACATTGGGAGCTTTCATTCTCCCTGCTGTATAATATGAGAAACAAGGAGGACATTCAGTGAAGTTAAAGGGGCGGCAAGTTCAAGTACACTTTTTCCACACAAAACATAATCAGATGGTGATAATTATTGTCACAGGACTGTTGAGGCCACAAATTTAGCAACATTCAAGAAGGGACTGGACATTTATATGGATACCAAGAATATCCAGAGTTATAATAGTTAACACAAGTAGATTTTAGAAGAGAGTAAACCTCATGCTTAAACCAATCACTAATTACTAGGGATTAAGTGGTTTCAATATGAGGAGACCATTGCCTACCATGCTAACCAATATGGTCTCATTTTTAACTTGTACTCCTCTAGCTGCTCTGTAACCATCTACTATTATGTTATATTTAGATTGTCATCTCTTTGGGGCAGAGACCATCTTTGTTCTTGCTTGTACAGCGCCTAGCACAACAGGGTCTATGATTAGGGCGCCTTGGCACTTCTACAATACAAGTGGTGATAATCGTTATAATAAAGTTCTTGCACCTTCCTCCGAAGTATCTCATGCTGCTGCTGTCAGACGGGATACTGGTTTAGATGCACCCTGGGTCTGATCCAGTGTGGAAGTTCCTATGTCCATTTCTCGTACCTTGAATTCATAGTCATGAGAAAGAGCCCTGTTCCTACCAGTTCAAAACCTTCCAG